TTCCTGCTAAATGCACTACTGCCTCGTGTAAAACGATGTTTTCTACTTTCACAGCCTTTGGAGTGGCATTGGGGAAATCTGAATAGCAAACAGTTGTTGTTCAGTTTGAAGTATTTGAATACGTAAATTGTGCCTGTCTGTCTTTTTTTGTAAGGAAATAAATGCAATAAAATCAGTATTTAGATTTTTTTAAAATATTCTTTGGAGATTGTTCTATGTAAAATAAACGTTACCTAATTAAACTGGCTTGGTTCCTAAATTTCATTTAAAAGAGTCAGTAAAATAGCAACCTAGATGGTAGTAGTGAAAGAAGTTCTTTCACTGCTTTTATAAAATTGAATCTAATTAAGCTTGATGGTCCTCACAGTACACTTTGAGAAGGTCACTCAGTAGTGAAGACTTAATGGCCTTTATGCCACTGAACATGATGATGACTCTGCTGATGAACTACCAATTACATCTGCAGACCAAATGTGTGCAGAGTAGGTAATGTGATAAATATATAAACTAAGAGAAAATATTTTCTACTCTCACTTTCCTTGTGACATATATTTTAAAAGATGAAAAGTGAGGGGTTCTGGAACGCATTGTAAAAGTCAATATTAAGAAATATTAATTCTGAAGGTGGAATGAAACAGTATAAAGTCAGTGGTAGATATATAAACTGCAAGTTTAGTTGGTATACTGACCCGTGGTATTATACACACTGAAAAAATGATTACACCTACTAGAGATACTCATTTATGCATGGCATTAAATTTGAACACTTGACTACTTTAAAACAGCTAATATCCCTAATTAAAAGGTAAACAGCTCCTATGTGCTTCCATTTTTCTTCTAGCTAGTTATGTATATGCCATTTCAATGTGACATAAATGCTGCAGTACTAACTCTGGCTCACTTAAAGTAGCTGGATGGGAAGGTTAAAGCAGCACTTATTTCCAAAGGAAAGAAGTGAATCGTATATGATTAAATTCACACTATTTTGTTTCCCCTTTTTTTTTTGTAATGAACTTTTTGACAAATTCTAGCTGAGCAGGTAGGTCTGTATACATGGGATGTTAATTATAAGACCAGTCCTTCAAGGTAATGTGTCAAAAGCCTGGAGTTCTGCTGGTTCTCACACCAGAGCCCCACAGCCATTGTTGTAAGTCACTCCTGCATATGCCTTTGTGTAACGCACTTGACATGTCTAGTGACCGCTTAGTTCCAATGTGAACAGTGTGTTCCTCAGTTATTTCCTGATGTATGCAAGCTTAGGAAAGCTTATTTGGTTCCCAGGTAATGACTCATGTGAAAGGTACAGTCTGTGTGCTAGCACTCACCTTTTACAACCATTTCTTGGACTTCCTGTTCTTCTAGTACACATCAAAGAGTAACTTCCATTTAATTTCTTTAAACTCTTTTTGAAGCTTTTTTCTTAACTAGTTCAGTTTAGGGCCTTGACACTAAACAAACAATGTTCCACAATGATTCCTATGTGAAGTTTGCACCAAGTACCATGCAAATGAGCAAAGTAATTCTGTGCCCACCCACTGCTGTCCTATGCTGCGGACAGCTACTACATACAACAACAATAAAGACTTTTTGGATGCTGCTGTAGGGGACAATTTAGGGTCTTCAAAGTTAGATAGCACTTGATGAAACCAGTTTCATTCAAAATTGTGGATAGTTTGGCCAAGCAGACAGAAACACTATCACAAGCAATAGTTTTGTTCTGTTTCACTTTGAACTTAACTGCAAGCCTTTTCTTAGTGTTTTGTTTTGTCTTTAAGAATACAGGAGCAACACAACAAACTTTCATCTAACAGCAAATCTGAAGTATGACAATTACATCTGATTTCAAAAAGTTCATAAACAGACAACCCTCTTCCTGGAGGACTGATTTCACCTCTGAGATACGCTTCTAACCTCATCCTCTTTGAGCGGTAACTAGCCACCCCAGGCATGCACCAAGGTAGAATCATAGAATCATAGAATGTTTAGGGTTGGA